ATAGAAGGTAATACCAATACAACAAAAACTAAATTTAGTATTAAAAAATTCATCCTGTAATAGGGTCAAAATCCGACGCTAATCCCTTTCGCCAGCATATTTATAATGACAATAACTCTGACGCAAAAAAAAAAAAAAAACATGAGTCAACAAGCTATTTGTATTAGAAATATTTCACTGTTGAGTTTTATGGTGACTTTTGAACGAACATGATTGCACGTAATAGTTAACAAATGATATTGCATCTGAGTGTTTAAATACAAATTTATGTTGGATTTGAGTCGAAGGTTTCAGACATAGAAGTGCTTGAACACAACCTTTTATCATCAGATTGGCATTAGATGTTGTTAGATGTTAATTTGCATAAAAAAATTGGACACAAAGCAAACACAAAACTAGACTAAATATAAAAAAATATATATAGGAAACCAATAATTTTCTTACACTTGCATTCTTCATGTAATCATCACAAACATAGATAAATGAAGAATTGTTTGTAATCATCACAAACATCCCTAGGGTTTTGGCCAATGGAAGAAGAAAAAGAGGATAGAAGAGAAAGGATAGGATTTCAGCCAATGAAAGAAGATGAAGAGGGAGGAAGAAAAAGGCTAAGGTTTCAGGTAGGAGAGGTAGAGGGAGAATGTGAGTGTGGTTGCTTAGGATTTTGGTCAATGGAAGAAGGAGAGGGAGAAAGAGAAAGGCTAGGAGTTTCAATCATGGATGAGAAGGGCGAGGAAGGAAGAAAATTTATGTCACAATTTCACAAACTATTCTATGAAAAAATTTGAAAAGAGAAAGTGAAAGTGATTTATACCCTTACTTGGGTAGAATAGGTTGAATTCCTTCCTTTGATGAGAGGAGATCCCTCGCTTTCCTTGATAAAGAGAGGGTAGAGAGTCTAGTGAGATTTTGGCTAATTAGGAAGACAAAGAATAATAGGGAGGGGGAATATTTCATTCTTGGAGAGGAGATATAGAGAGGGTGGATTTTGGTCTTGGAGAGAAGAGGAGGGACTTGATGGGATTTCAGGCAAGAGGGTAATGCGAAGAGGGTATTTTGAGATTAAGTGGGGAGGAAAAGGAGGAACTTGTTAAGAGAGGGAGCGGAGGAAAGTTTTAAAAGATGGAGGGAAATTTTGAATTTGGGGAGGTGGTTATGGCCAAAATCATAGACATAGCCCATTTGAAATAGAAAAATACACGAAATCCAATAATGCAATTTATTTTTGTTTGTAGTGGTCTATACATCAAAATATTTCAATTAAAGGCTAGTAAGAACCTAGACTCCAATAGTCTGACATGAAGCACGGTCTTGCACTTCATAAGTTTGACACAAAAATATTATAAATAGACACAATAACATCAATAACAAAACAATAGCCCATTCTTCATCGGATTAGCATCAATAACATAAATTGAACTCACAATATATTTAATAAACATAGATAAATGGTGAGCACAAAAGGAATCATCATATATAACACATAAAAGCTAAAATATAATCCATCAAACACAAATTCATAAAATGTAAATAAAAATAGATCTATAGAATATCATGTCACAATAAAAAATAAAAAAGAAAACATAAACCCCTACAGGGCATCATTCTTAAGGTCATCCTCCATGTAGTCCTCTTCTCCATCCTCCTCCACAACACTAAGAGGTTGTTTGCCACAACAATCTACTACCTACTCTAGCCAAACAACAGTGGTCTTGAGCCTCTTGTATCTATGATCACTGACATAGAGCTTCCCAATTTATATGGTGACACAACTGATAGGTTTCTTAAGATCTAATGATGACCTCTGACCCTTGTCACAAGGTCAACATAAAATTCTTTTTGGTTGTTGCAGATTATTTTACCAAGTAAATCGAAGTTAAGGCACTCACTTGGACCACAACATAGGTTATTTAGAACTTCATATACATAGATTTGATCTATCGTTACGGGCTACTGCTGGTTATCATCATAGATAAAGTGAAAAAATTTGTTGACTAAAGAGTGAAGAATGTCTGCCGAAGCCAAGTAATTAAGTTGAAGTTTTCATCTGTGCATCACTTTAGACAAATGGACAAGCCAAGAGAGCCAACGAGATTATCTTGAACCTACTGAAGAAGAAAGCTACAATGCTATAAAGATTTTTAATCAATTAAAATTATTAATGAAGAAAATAGAATAAAAACTATTAAATTAGATTCAAATAATGTTTTAAATCTTGCCCGAATCCTCAACATCTTATGGCTACGTGATTAGAGTTGTCGAAATGACTCTTCGTTCGTGAACGGCTCGTGTTCGTCTTCGTTCGTGAACTGCTCGTGTTCGACTCGCTAAGCAAACATGCTTATATATGATGTCGGCACGCCATATATTATATATATTCTTAAAAATTGTTTATTTACATTTATATCTCCTAATTTTTTTCTTAATCACATAAATTTATGATAATGCTATTAATAAATAAATGTTAAACGGCTTATATATGACTTCCAAATGAAAAATACTTTACAAAATATCTATATAAAAAAAAAAAATAAATGCAAAATCGCCACATCAATTTTGCCCTTTTAAGAAAAAAAAAATTTCGTGTCGATTTAAAAAATAGAAAATAAAAAAATTACATTTTAAGAATTTGGCCGGAAAAAAAATTAGTAGAACGTGTTGTTAATTGTTACCTTGTTGGCCCACCGCCGCAAAGCCTGCTTGTCAGCATGATTGAGTGAGTTAAAGACTTTAAAAAAGTTGACAGTGCCAAGACCATAGCATTTATTAATAGATGTGAACTTTGACTTCCATGTCATGCCTTTTGCAACAATAATAAATAAATAAATAAACAAATAAATAAATATGCATTAAACTTTACTTTTTACACTTGTACATTTGTACATTTATATGACCTAAATATTTCAGTTTAGAAGTGTGCTTGGCATAATTTGTAAGATTCCTAGGATTAAGTGTTTACTCTCACTTATTTGAGATGGAATTCCCAATTAGATGAGATTAATCAGAGGCTCTTAAAATAGCCTCCTGCTAATCTAGAGATGATCAGGACTTGTATAATAGCTTTATCTATATATATATATGCGCCACATATTCAGATTAGTTGGTTGAACAACAGGATTGTGGTGGGGAGGTGCTGGTTTTTGTAAGGGCAGTGTGATGAGGAGGTGGGTTTGTTTTATATTGAAGGTTGGCCCGGTGCCAGCATTGTGCTTCTGTGTGACCTGATTTGAGGAAAATTGGCAGGTGACGGGTTGTTTGGGTTTGTTTGGGTTGAATTGGTATCTAGTGGGATTGTTTTGGTTTTTTTTGGGTTGGGTTAGTATGTGTTTTGATTAAAATTGGTTGATTGATTTGTTTTGGCTTTATTTGTATAGAGAGTTATGGTGGTTTGTTATTTCATGGTTTCTATTATCAAGTTTGATTTTTCTCTGTGAAGGAAAGAGTAAAAGTCTTCAAGTTCGATGGGGTTTCATTGCGTGTGTATGGTTGTCTTGAATCCTTGATATTGGGGTTATAAGTCATTCAATGTGTAGAGAATGATGTACTCAGTGTTGATCAGAGCTCCTACAATGGCGATGCTATCAACCATGGTAGTTTTGATGTTTGCCAGACATTGGGACATTATGTTGCTTCCCATTATGATTTTGTGTAGCTCGTTTTTTTGTTGAATGACTTTGGATCTATTTATAGATTGAAATCTCCTTTTGAGTGTTGACTAGATTTTTGTTGTGCTCTAAAATTTTAACACGTATGGTAGAATTGATGTGGTGACAGAATTGTTGCTGTAATTAAGGTTTTGATCGACTAGGTTCCATATTTTGAATCACAGTTGCCCAGATCATTTCGTATGAATTGAGAGGGAGTGGGAGTGTTCTCTGCAAGGAATTCTTCAAACCAATTTGCTATAAACAATTTATGTATATGAGTTTTCCATACCTGATAATTATCATATTGGAGAGAAGATGTTGACATTGTTTTGATGTGAGGCATTAGGAACTTGAGTGATGCAAGTATGTTGATCTCTTTCATTCTGTTTAATGACATGGTGTAATGTTCGTTTGTTCTGATGGTAGAGGAGTTTGGAGAATTCATGGATCAATTGTTAAGTTATTGCTCTGATATCTTAATAACCAACGCAGAACCTCGAAAGTCATCCTTTTTAATCATATAAATACTCTCTTGCATACTTCTCTCATTCTCGTGTATTTCCCTTTCTCACATACTTGTTTCACCTGCTCTAGTGCCCAAACTATTTTTATTTTTAAATTTTTTTAATTCCAGATTGCTAATTGAAAGAATTCCCCAATGGAGCAAAATGCTTGTTATAATTGAATAATTCATTAACCAAAGTTCAAAAAAAAGAACAAATTATATTTGACGTCTGAAACATAAAATTCCGGACAACAAATTCAATTGATGCTACAACAGAAATAATCAGATATAATTTAATGATTAATGAACATCATTGTCTCTATTTTTCAAGCATAAAATTTATTTATATTTTGTGTCATGGAACCCCAATCTCATCTACTTAATTGATTTAAATTTCATAGCACGTCTTTATCAACAATAAATGCTTCTCAAATTTTAAATCAATATGTTTTTATCATATTATGTTATGTCATATATTACATATAAAAGAACAATGATGTGATGGATGATAAACTAACATCTTGTTACTTACATATCACACAATTCCTATGTAATTATATATCTGACATAAAAGTTTGACATTTATATTTATCACACTTCAGCACCATAAATCCATACAAGAAAATGTGTATTTCACTTTCAAAACAATCATTCATGGTGATATTATTGGTGCTATATTAAGAATTTGAATGTTATATATATAAAGTTTAGGTTATAAGCAATATAAATACATAAGAATTATGTGATATGTATGAACATTATCATTATTATTTGTTGAGCCGACACTCATGCAGCTCAAGCTCATGTCAAAAGGTTTAAAAAGACAACAAGAAATTTCTCCTCCATAAAAATGTAACTAAGGGTCGCATACTATACTGAACATTCAAACAAGAAGGCTAAACTTTTGTCATCTAGTACAATAATATATATATAAATTATATTATACACCAATTATAAAAGCTAAAAACTTCTTCATTTCATATTCGCCCATCTCAGAACCAGAGAAATCCGAGCACTGAAAATGAGTCAGGAACCCAGAACCATGTAATACAATATTGTGACTGGCAATGACACAATCATCCCAAATATAACCCTGCAAAAAGGTTCACATTAATACACAAACCTTAGAAAAAAAAAAATCAACTAATATTAAAACTTAAGGAACTCAAACAATCCGAAAAACTTACGCAGTGCTTAGCATCTCAGGATGAAGATTATATTCCTTCGCAAACACAAATGGCACAATTCCTTGTGGCAAGGCAGCCTAATGAAATAATTCAGTTTAGATACCATCCTTTCATTTGATATGTTGAATTTAGATAAACTAGACATGGGATCAAAAGTGACAGCAAACATTAATACCTGAACAATTGAGACTTTCAGAATGGTGCCTCTGATACCAAGAACAATTGCAGCCACTGCCATAAAAGCTGGACCAGCAACGAATCTTATAATCATGCCATAAGTAGCCATCTTCTTCCCACATGGTATTATGCTATGTTGCATGGCCATGAACAACCCTTAATTTTCATAATTTGAATTAATTCAGCTTATTATGAAATTGAAAAAAAAAATGTCTTTTTGTGAATAAATCAGAATTCTGTACTGTAGCGAAGATATATTACCAAGACTGAACATAGCCATTCCTAATCCAGAATTTGACAGAATGGTTATTGAGCTGTCCATTATTAATGGCTTTTTCACATTCCATCTGCATTAGTTTTAGTCAGCTAAGCCATTAAAGTTTTCTACTTTATGAAAAAGTTTGAAAAAAAAGAGGGGAGGGAAGGAGAAAGAGGAACTTTGAAGAAATCAGAGCCCAGACAAGACCAAGCACGCTAGCATAGGTATTTGGATTTCTGATGAGCTTGTGGAAGACCAATCTCAATATTAAAAGCATTGAAAGCTTGTTTGGTTGAGGTTTCTCATCTTCTTCCTTACCTTCTTCTTCTTCTCTGCGGCAAACCTGCACTGAACTCTCACAAACACCTGCGCAAGCTCAAAACAAGCAAATAAAACACTAAAAGTTAACATATTTGACCATTAGAGATCATAAAATTAGCTGTTTGTTCCGCCATTAATGCATGCCTTGTTGTTTGCTTTGTTCTTCGATCTCAGGAAGCTTCTCAGCAGTCTTAACTTCTTCTTCTTCTTCCAATTCTGGAGATACCTTGGTCACAAACTGAGATTTTTGAGTCTCATTCTCAGATGATGAATTGCATACAACAACCTGAATTAATTCTTCTTCACCGATTCCTCTCTCCTGATCCCCAACACCATCGCTGCTCATTTTCTCCATTAACGAATTCCTTGCAGAACGATATTCAAAGAGAAAGAGCAGAAGCGTGTACCAAACAATGGATTGCATCACCACAATCTGAATCATTAAATCCTCCTGTTCATCTCCGTACATGGATTTCAGAAGAGGGATTCCCATGACAAGCGTGTTCGGGAGGGTGGCGATGGAGAAGAAAGTTATGGACCAATCCAAGCTGCCCTTTTTAAAGAAACGAGACCAGCAGAAGAGGAGGAACAGGACAAAGAGCTTGGAGAGGGAATCTGCGGCGATGAAGAGGAAATGCATGTGGAAAGGATTGATTTTGGTGATGAAATTGAAGGAGAGAAGGGGAATGGCGAAGATGGCGACGAAGCGATTGATGCCGGAGCATTGCTCGGGGGTGAAGAGATTGAAGTATTTGATGGAGGAGTAGGCCAGGAACATGGCGAAATAGAGAGGAAATACTGCGCTGAGGACATTGTAGAGCTCCTTTGGAGACATTGTTTGCTCATCAAAGATTTTCGCTTTGTGTTCCCTTTAATCTTTTGATTGATAATGGAGATGGAAGGAAAAACCGAAGCAAGCTTGGGATGCTTTTTCTTTGATCTTTTGATTGTTAATGGAAGGAAAACGAAACAGCCTCTGTTCCTTCCTCCCTCTCTCTAACTATATATAGAGAATGTTGGATAATGAAATGGTTCAGTTGCCCTTATATTGTGGCGCTACGTACGTAGCACCCTACACGCATACGCCAAAGTGTGGACAATATGGATTTCATCACGTGTGGTTAACAATGATTCTCTCTGTCTCTTCAAAAAGAAGTATATAAACACAAAAACAAAACATAAATAAATCAAATAAATGAAACACCAAGAAGAAGATCAGAGATTTCAAATCTGTAATAGCAGAGATAATGGATAATGATCCGGTCAGTTCTAATTTGGATCAAGGAGCATCACCAAACTCTGCAGCAGAGATCCCACTCTGAAAAACTCTGCAGGGAAAAGGAGACAGCTGATGAATCTAAAGACATTAACTTGATCACCAAGCTCCTAAAAACGCAACTGGAATCTTGTGACTGAGATACTATTACATGTAAGAATAAATGAGAAATAACAGAAGAGAAAACAGCCACAAGACCAAAATTAGGTGCCAAACCAAAAGATGAGGATAAGGAAACAAACCCCAACAAAAAGCACTAAAATAGATCCAAAACCACTACAAAAAATTAAAAATAAATACAAAACTAAAAATAGGGCAATAACAAAAGAAACACAAAAGAAGAATCTAGAGAAAGAAAAAGATTAGAATTTATCTTACGAGAAAGGAGTTAAAACGCCTTCTAAATATTATAAATATTTTTGCACCAACATATTTGCAAGAATAGTTGAAGTTTAATACAATGGTTGGAAATCATCATTGCTCAACCTGAAAACTACGTCAAAAAGGAAAAGATTAAGAGATATCTAAACAATAAAAAATCAGAAAAAATAAAAAAATAACAGAAGAAAAAACACAAGAACCAAATAAGAAATACGAGTCAACAAAAAACAACAAATAACGCTTCTGGAAAATCATCTATAAAAGACAATAAAACCGACAGATTTGTGTGTGTTGAAAATATCGTTGCAATTTTTGACGGCTTTGTTGACCTCACTTTTGTGAGAGTCTTCCTACTCCCTGTAGGAATCTAAATACTTGACCTTAGGGCTTAAAAAACAACAAAAAACGCTTCTAGAAAATCATCTAAAAAAGACGATAAAACCGACAGATTTGTGTGTGTTGAAAATATCGTTGCAATTTTTGACGGCTTTGTTGACCTCACTTTTGTGAGAGTCTTCCTACTCCCTGTAGGAATCTAAATACTTGACCTTAGGGCTTCCCTAGTAGCCTTCCTAGATGACCAAAGGGACTACTCACCTACATGGAACCCCAAACCAAGGTTATGCTCACATGGGCCTCATTAGGTTAACCACAGACCTAGTAGAGAACCAAGCTAACCCCTTTTGAGTAAGGCATGCCATAGATCAACCATGAAACCTAAAACCCTAAGAATCTCTCTATGGACTCTAGGATCCCCCATGACACCAAAATATTTAGAAGGACGAAACACATACCGAAATCAGTCCTTAGTCTCACTTAAGGCCTTACCAACCTCAATTGATCATGAAATCAACATGAAATTCCAACACAACAATTTGACCCCCAGAAATTGGAACGTCTACGGGTTAACAAACCAAATTGGGCCCAAGCCAATTTGGGTCAATTATTAGACAATTGATCCCATTACAGCTCCACTCAAAGTGGTCAAGACCTTAACCCACATAAGGGTCAAATTGACACTATGAAACCAACCCCATAATTCACTAATTATTTGATCAGGTAAATTATGGAAGCCCATTAGGCTTAAGCTTTTGGGCTGAACCTAAGCACATTTAGGTTAGCCCTAAAATCCAAAAACCGAAAGCCCATGGCCCATCTCTCCCATGGCTCATCTCCCCTACGACCCATCCTCCAGGGGTTACCCATGATATAAACATGACCCATCATGGCACATGGGTGGCACAAAAAATTAAATTAAATTAATCTTACCTAAATCTAAACACTAGAGGACAAACATGCACCACTTATCATGAACGGTCAACACATGGAAGCTAGGGCATGACTTCTTAGGCCAGCCCATGGTGGGTCAAACTAGACCAACTCTAGTCTTAGCCAAACCACCAAAGGCTTCCACAATCAGCCTAGGCTCTCCTCCATGCCTCCCTCACCCCCATTGGCACCACTATGTCCAACACAATAAAAGTTAAGAAAGTACTGGCTTCACAGCTCCAAGCTCCTACAATTTCTCTACACATGCTATAAGAAGTCACCAGGGATCCCCATGCACACCAGTGCTCCTCCCATGGGCTCCCATGGCTATAAATAGCCCCAACCTAAAGCCCTCAACACCACATTGAACTTCCTACACAGTCACTTAGCCCTCTTGCTCCCAACACTAAAACCAAAAATACTGACCAATGTAAGTCGTCACCACCATCCTTATGACACCTCTACCACCACAAAACCCTAATTTCACCATTGAAATCCATAGCATTTTTCTTCCTCGAAACCAAATTTCCCAAAACCCTAATGTAACTCGCCCATAAGCTTCACAAGAACTCAAGACTTTTCCCCCAATAAAATTCAAGCTTCCGCACCCTCCAACCCACTCTGACACCAACCTGAGCCATCGTTTGGTCTAGCTCATAGCTAGAGCCAATTTTGAGGTGAATTGAAGCAAGGAGAAGATGTGTGGCATCAAGGCGATCTTTTCTATCAAGCCCAATTGAGGCCTCACTTCTTGGGAAAAGGTATGAATCCAAAATCCTTAAATTGAGCCTCAGTTTGGTATTTTATGAAAGAGATGAACAATGCATGCCCACTTAATCGCATTGATAGGTTCATCACGATTAGATGAAGCAATAGGAGCAAACCATATGTAATTTCGTTGAGTGTAGGCTGAGATCTTAGAGTTTGATTGCAGACGGCTCTCGATTCATTGTCCAACGGGAATGATGTAATGATGTCATTCATTTCGAGTGGAAAAGTAAGAAATTCAAAATTTTGAATTAATTAAATCCAGAAAATCAAAAAAAAAAAAACTTTAAAAATTCATATCTCCCCAAATAAAATTCACAAAAATAATATAAAAATACCTCTGGACTTAGAGATCAGAGGAGAAAATAATAAAAATAAAAATAAAAGTAATTAACTTATAATTAATTTTAATTAATTAAATACTCTATAGAGTATTTTAATTATTAAAAATTAAATATATGACAGAAAAAATATGAAATTTTTAGGGATTCTTCCCTCCATCATTGGAGACATTTTTTTTATTTTTTCCAAGGTCAGAGGATCTCCCTAACATTAACATTACTAATTTTCTACCAAAATCATAATTATTTAAAAAAATAATTATATAAATTGGAATAAAAATTAGAAAAATGTAAATAAAAACGGAAACTAAAAAGAAAATTTAGCGAAGTAACCCTAAACCTCAAAATAAAAATTTTGACATCTAAAAACATAAAAAAGAATTTAGAGTGAAGGGGTAAAAGTGTAAAAATTAAAAATTTGCATTTTAGCTCAACACCCCCTCCCCCTAAATCTAGAATCTAGCTTAGCTTATCAAAACTAGTGAGATTTTTAAGGAATCGACATCATAATTACATAATTACCCCTCTAATTATGATGTCGTCCTTAACAATCATAGGTCCAAACCAAACAGGACCTATCCTGATTAACTTGGCTTAGGTCTATCCTAATTTAGAGCTAATCCAAATAGATTTGAATTAAATCTAGCCCAATCAAAATCAACCTAAGTCTGACCCAATTCAGACCTAACCCAACTTAATCCAAATTTAGGGTTTGAGCTAGGCATAGTTTGACTTGGACTTGACTCAACATAACTTTAAAATACGAACACATTTTTGGTATAACCCAACTTAGACCTAAATCAACCCAAATCATCTGGGCTAACCTGACCAAACTCAGGTTAACCCAAATCAACTTAAACCATCCGAGCTAACCCGACCGACCTAACTCAGGTTAATCCAAATCAACCCAAGCCATTCGGGCTTACTCGACCCAGCTCGGTTTAATCCAAACCAGCTTAAACCATCTAGGTTAACTCGATCTTACTTGGGTTAACCCAAATGAATTTAAACCATTCAGACTAGCCCGAACTAACTCTAGTTAACCCAAACCAACCCAAACCATCCGAGTTTTATATTTTTTAAATATAAGATTTATTTTCTCCTATAGTTAAGTTATCGCTTAAGATTCCTCTCAATTAAAGTAGCAATGGTTTGTGTTTCTAAGGTTTAAAACTTTAGTTTTAAAGATTTTGATTTTAAAGTTCAATTAAGAAAGAATAAAATGGTATAGCTTTTATTATAATTAAAAGGAGAAAACATGATAGGTTGATGTATATCAAATATGCATGATAATTTTATGTTTTTTTTATATTATATGGGTCATTTATGCTTTTTAATGTTAATTATTTGTTGTATATATAGTGTGCAAATGATTAGACAATTTGGGGATAAAAAAAGACATGAATTAGACTCAAAATGGGCTGAAGTCGGACCCAAGTGCCAACATTGGGTTCTTAAGTGCCTAAGCTCCCAGCACTAGAGCAACAGAAGCCCATGTATTAGTTTGGGCACCCAATCACCCATATGCATGGAATTATTATTCAGATATCTTAATTCAAATTGTTTCATGGGTGACAAATTAA